GGTGAGCGCCGCGTCAAGCTGCCTGCGGGCTGCGCGCCCGGACCAGCGGGCATCAAGAAGCCAAAGGCCATGAGGAAGTTGAGCTTTGCCGATGAGGTGACCACATCCCCTGTCCTGGGCCTGAAGATCAAGGAGGAGGAGCCCGGAGCGCCGTCCGGAGGCCTGGGGGGCAGCCGCACACCGCTGGGGGAGTTCATCTGCCAGCTGTGCAAGGAGCAGTACGCGGACCCCTTTGCTCTCGCCCAGCACCGCTGCTCTCGCATCGTGCGCGTCGAGTACCGCTGCCCCGAGTGTGACAAGGTCTTCAGCTGCCCAGCAAATCTCGCCTCTCATCGCCGCTGGCACAAGCCACGGCCCCAAGCCGCAAGCACAGTCTCCTCCGCCGACGGGAAGCCTCCTCCGTCGTCTTCGTCCTCCCCGGACTCTGGCTCCATCGCGTCTTTCCTGGCCGAGGGGAAGGAGAATAGCCGGGCAGAGCGGACTGTGGATCAGCACCCTCAGGCGAAGGACAGCTCCAGAGAGGATCAGCACCAGGACAGCGGCCTGCGCCAAGTCTTCCCGGTGCTCCCGCGCCTAGAGCCGCCGCTGCCACAGGCTCCCCGCACCGACGGAGTGTTGGGGCTCCAGGGGCCTGGGCCAGGCAGTACCACTGGGGGCGGAGGATCCGAAATCTTCGTGTGCCCGTACTGCCACAAAAAGTTCCGTCGCCAAGCTTACCTGCGCAAACACCTGGGCACTCACGAGGCGGGCTCCGCTCGCGCGCTGGCTCCTGGCTTTGGCTCTGACCGCAGGGCCCCACTCGCCTTCGCCTGCCCCTTGTGTGGGGCCCACTTCCCGTCCGCAGATGTCAGAGAGAAGCACCGTCTGTGGCACGCTGTCCGCGAGGAGCTGCTCCTGCCTGCTCTAGCTGGGGCTTCTCCCGAAGCGCCGGGACCCGGAGGGGCCTCTGACGGAAGTGCGCAGCAAATTTTCTCCTGCAAACACTGCCCGTCTACTTTTTTTAGTTCCCCGGGACTGACCCGGCACATCAATAAGTGCCACCCCTCAGAAAGTCGCCAAGTATTGCTACTGCAGATGCCATTTCGGCCTGGCTGCTGAGGTCGGACAAACCAGGCTGGCCTGGTAGAAAACGGATCATAGGAACTTCTGTGGGGCTTTCTTCAACTTGCAAGTTTTACTCTGTCCTTCCCATGTTTTTCCTCTTAAGACTCTCCCAGTGGTGAGTGTCCCACCAGGGGAGAGCAGGTATGTATATGGCATAAACATTCATGGTCAAAGACTGTCAGCCTTTCACTTTCCCCACTAAAATAGGATTTCCCCCCTCAATACTCTGGAGACCCTAACAAATCCTATATGATTTGTAATTCCTATGGAAAGACACAGTGAATGCGTGCATGTCTCATTGTCTACAAAAGGTTCTTCCTACAAAAAGTGGTAGTCACATTTTTTTTTCTCTTGCCATCACAGGCGGCTGTGTAGTTTCTGTCTCAATAGGGTCAGATATCTTGCATTGTATATTCTGTGAATTAAAAGTTATGTGGTTGGTGCCAAACTCACAGGGGAGAGACGACTCAATTCCGATATCCACGGGCAGGAAATTTTAAGAGAGTGTTTGTTGCTCTTGAAGATATGAGAACTTCCCCCCAAACCTTTTCTTAATTACACGTTCTAGTCCATTCTTCCATTAGTTTTTGGAGGCAGGGAGGGTGCTATTTTATTGGAAGGAGACACCCTCCAAATTCTTACCTTTAGCTATGTTGTGTGCAGTATTCAGGAAGACCTATCTTAAATGTTTACATAGCTTTTGGAAATACTGAACTTGTTTCCCGAAGTTTTTTTAAAGTTTCACCCACATCATTTAATGCTTCTGTTGTAAATCTCAGTGTGTTATGTATAAGACTGTGTTCAGCTTTTCAAGATGTTAATACCTGTAATACACCATGGATGAATGGCAATTCACTCAATATTCAGTATTTTCTTTCCAGCAGCAACTTTTGAATTTTGTAAACTGTATTCAGTGTACTCTGTACCCATATCCTAATACCCAGTTTGGGGCACTGGCTGAACACTGCTTGACAGCTCAGCTCTGTAAGATGCTTATCACCAAATAAATGTACATAGAGTGCTTTTTGTTCTGTATTTGTCTTAAGAATCGGATGAACACGGCCTATTTTCAAAGCCACATTTCTTATCTCCCCAATGCCAGTGATTCTAATACCTCTTAGAATCTTAGGACCCATTTATAATACAAAGGAGATATATTTTGCAAATCAATGTAATGGTGCAGAAATGCAACAGGAAATTTTCCTTTGAAGTATAGTGGCAAAAGGCAAGATATATTCTTTAAATCTAGAAGGATACTACCCCCCTCCAAAGATGATAGAAATATATTTCAAATGTTTTCTGTAAGAGCTGCTGGTGTTATTTGAAGATGACAAACATTGTAATGGTATTTATTTCAACATTTCAAGTTGGTATTTTCAGCTTTTTGTGTATCATTGATTCATTAGATGTTTATTTAAAACAAAGTGAAAGCAACTTAGAAACATGTAAGTAGTTAATTTCATTTTCCTTTTTAAATTATTCCACCTTAATGGTGGGAAATTGCCTATAATGTTTAATTTTGCTTCTGTTTAGTGTTGCTTCTTTATCCATTTGCTAATAGGAACTTTAGTTTTAATTACAAGAAAAAAATTAAGTACACAGGAACTCCGAAACCTTGTAGAAAAATTTGGGAGTTTTATTTCTAAAATTATAAAACAAAGTGAAATTTAAGAAATCAGAGAAATATATGGCTGAGATAAACTGATGCTTTAATGCAGTGCTCTGTGTGAAGTGTTTGGCCAGCACTGGAGAGGGTGTAAAATTTCTTGTTTTTAAAGCTGTGGTAGGATCTTTGAGGAGTAGGTTGGAGTGTATCCTGAAAAGGGAATTTAAATTATTTTTTCAAAATTACCTAAGATAACCTAAGTCTATACTTCATAGGTCACCAATAGTCCTAATAGCTCTGCCTATTAAGTCTGAAAATTATAAAATATAGAAGAAAATAATGGACAGGAAGTGATAGTAAGAATATTTTTATTGTTTTATTAAATACCACGTCATCTTTTTTATCCTCCCATTGTTGCAAATTTGTAGGCACTACATGAGTGATGATACATAATTTTATATTCTATGGTTTGCCGGTGTGATGTATTTACACATGCAGTTGGTACTGATGTCATGCTACACTTCCTTAGGAGATGCCCAATTTAAAAAAATGTGAGTAGCTTATCTATTAGAGGAAAATGCTTCCAGAGGGTGGAATGTATACCAACTTGCACCTGCAAGTTCAGTATGAACAATATTAGATTTAACTTAGACTCCTCGCTCCTGTTACCTTTTCTTTTTAAATAATACACATAATTTGAGCAACATATTTAGATCAGAAAAGTTTTTTTCTCCTTCCCACCACCTTATTTTTGGTACTTAAGAAAGAATACAGATATACAGCATCTATCAGCCAATATTAACGGGCCACAATCTCAAAACAAATAATATTTAACAGTGATACCATTTAACAAACAAAACATTAGAAAATTACTTGGAAGCTAAACAAATCAAGGTTCAGCAGTGATTTTTCTAATTATTTGATATGCATGGCATCATCTATATATTCAAGAAATGAGAAACTCTCAAGAAGAAAAAGGAAATATTAAAATTATTTCAGTTGGAATTTAAGATGCTAAATGACCATTTAATTTTGAGTGTTTTATTTTTGTGACATAATCTGTACATATCCCATTTATTAACAGATCTGTAACTTTAACTTTACTAATGCGTAAGTTTAATTTTACATTTGTAAAAAATTATATATTTATTGAACCATAAAGCTGTCGGGGTACAATAAATAAGATGAGACTATCTGTCCAAATGTATTTTGGCTCAACGTTAATCATGAAATTAAAGGTAAAATTATGTAAGATGTGAGTATCTAGGAAGGTAAAGAACATAGAATAAAACTCCACCCCCTCAAAAAATGGCAGTTTGAAGTGTACGGGGAACAATGAACTGAATAAATAGCCCAAATCTAAAATATTAAGTTACAAATTATTTAAGTCCAGTGTTTTCTCAAATAAATGTACAGGAAGGAACATGCATGGCATGGCAGATATGAAGGCCTGAAGGGGTTAACACTATGTTCGTGCTAAGGTGGCTACTGCTGATCACACTGTTGGGCTGCTTGTCTCCTTAGGATTTATTGGCTGAGCCAGAGGAACGACGCAGCTTCATGGACATGCGGCTTTTGCTAGTTCGAGGAGACATTGGAGAGGCCAGGTCAGCCCCATCTACCTGTGTTGCTGTGAGAGCTTCACTGGGTAGAATCTCTGGGTAGAAGCCTGTAGGAAACAGCAAGAACATTAACACTGTCATCCAGCCTCTCATGCCGTGAGAAAACAACCTGTCTGCTACTAATTTGGAGTAAGAATCCCAAGCCTAAGTGAAGTCTTTTGAGAAAAAGAAAACCCCATATGCTTTAGTCACAGCAGCCTACTAACATATTTAAAGCCCAGTTATCTGGTGGGTCACATCATCTTGTTAGCAAGAAAGCACCAGTCATCATCTCCAGAGCCAGAACCCTGGAAAAAACAATGGGAAGCAGTCTTGGGCTAGAAAGAACAGGGCTCCAAAGCACTTCTGGCATGCAGGAAAGGACACAAGAAGCAGGAGAGAAAAACCAATTTCTGTCTCTAGGGTTCAGGTATAACCAAAAAAGGGCCTTCATTACACTTCCAAACACTTCCAAACAAGTTTCAAAGAACTACTTATGAGACCATCATACAGCCAAGATATTTAGATTTTAAAAGATGAAGTGACCTCAGTAATATGTTGAAAAGAGATAAGAAATGCTTGCTTTTACTTTCATTAAATTTTGCAGTTACACTGTAGATAACCAGTAAAATTAGTAGATATAGAATTTTAATGCAAGCAGTGTGGTGGTGCACACCTGAAATCCCAGCACGCAGGAAGATGTGGCAGGAGGAATGCCACAAACAAGCAAGCCTGAGCCACATACTGAGTTCAAGGCCAGGCTGAACTACGAAATATTTAAAGCAAGCAAAACAAATTCCAATAGAAAAAGTCTTTGTCCTCACAGAGCACTTCTGGTCTCTATTTTATGGATTATGACTCTACAATATACAGCAACAATAAAGAACCTTGCACATAGTAGGCTGTATGAGTAAATGAGTAAGACATTAAGAAAAACCCTTCAGAAAATAACCGCTATGAATTAAACAAGGAAATTTGAATTGTTTCTACATATTTCAAGGTACTTTAATCCATACGTTTTCTGGGTTTAAGTATATGAAAAAAAAATTGGGGTGGGGAGGTTTTTTTTTTTTTGAGACAAAGTCTTGCTATGTAGTTCAGGCTGGCCGTGAACTCACTGTATAGCCCAGGCTGGCCGTGAACTCTTGGTGATCCTTCTGCCTCAGCCTCCCAACTGCTGGGATTATAGGCGTGCACCTCCACACCTGGCTGTGAAAAATTAAACAAAAACAAACAAAAAAAAAACCCCACACAAATTGGAGGCTTAAACTTACATTTCTTATTTTAAAGAGAGACTTTTGGCATATTTGTTAGCTTGTGCAGTACCTCACTGACACTTCAAACTTGGAAAAAATTTTGCTAGCACTTTTATATAATGAAACAATTGTGCTTAAATTGAAGTTATTAATATTTCTAACTAAAATGCTCAATAGGGAGCATAGAACTTATGGAATATCTAATTAAGAATGTATCTTTTCAGAATACTCATTGTTTGAGGTCTAATGTTATAATTAAAAACAAATATATATATTTCCAAACATGCTCTGTCATTTATAACTCATATTAACTGCCTTCCTCAAAGTAACTTTTCTAACATTTTTTTCTAATTGAAATGAGGCTGGCCTTCTAAATAAAAGGAAAAAATAATAATTTTGTTCAGTTTTACTCTTCCTGAAGATCTGAACTGGTACATACTGAAAAATTTTTAGAACATTATAAACCCATGGTCCATTTAGGGAAGTCCTGCAGATGGACGGCAAAAGGAAGGTGAGGGGCAGTAGCTCATGCTTTTCTGATAATGCATACTATTCCCGGCCATCAGGAGGGGCCTTCCCAGGGCTGTTTACCTTGAGACGGCCAATGGTTTCTAGTGGAGGTTTTGGGAGGAAGAGAACTATCACTGCATTTCTTTCTGTGTTGTGAATGAAGAAATGGAGTAGCGAGCAGAAGTGAGAAAAGAGAAGATAGATAACAGATATAAGAGACACAGTGCAGAATTTTACAGGTATTAACTGAGGAGCAGAGAAAAGAATGAACAGGTTTTTATTATGAAATATAATTGAGCATGCAATGAGTTAGGGTGATGATGTTTCACAACTCAACAGTTTGTACTGTTATTATTTAAATGTTATACTTACCAACTAACAAAACAAGTTCAAATAGGAAAAAAGAAAAGAAGAACAAACGTCTATGAGAGATTCTATAAACATGTACTTTTTAAAATATTCACTGTATTGGCAGCATTCAGAAAAATTCTGGAGAGGTACTGTCTACCATGGTAGCTATAGTCACATTAAATTTACCTTAAATGTAATTAAAACTAAATAAAGATTCAGTTCCCCAGTACCAAACACTAGCCACATTTCAAAAGTTCAAAAGCCACATGTGGCTTGTGGACAAAGAAGATATATAACAATTCCACTATCAAAAATGTTTACTAGACAAACTGCTTTAGAATATGCCAAACCCAAAAATGTTTTCCTCTCAATTCTTCACTAAAAGTCCTCTAAGAAAATCGAATTAATAGATATTTCTCCTATTTTCCATCTAAAATTTTTCTTCTTAACTATACCTACTCCTAAAATCCTTTCTCTCAGTAACTTTTAACAGTAATAGTAAATTGGGCCAGGGATGCAGCTCAGTGGTGCTGCGCCTGCCTGGCAAGTGCAAGGTCCTGAGTTCAATCTTCAGTACTGGAGAGGTGGGGGTGGAAAAAGAAAAACAGTAAGTACAGTTTATCTTTCTGATGCCTGGGTGCATATCCTCGCTTTATCGCTTTAAAAAGAACCAGCAACTCCTCCATGACTCTCTTGTTGCCTTCAAATCAATGAAATCCCCTTCAGCCAATTAAGGCTTTTTAGTGTGTGTTGGTGCATAGGTAGGAGTACTTATGTTTTAGCAGATTCTATTTATGGTTATATACTCAAAATACCCAAACTCTATAAATAATATATAGGTAGACCTCAGTTTTAGATGTGAAGAATAGAAATATCTACATTTCATTTCATATGCTCTTCTGCCTAGCTACTGATTTATACTACAGAGTCAATGC